CCCAGCTACTAGCACCTTTCGATAATCGAGACGGGAAGACCTGTAGGAATGTTGAATAGAGCCCTAGTATCTACGTTTTAGGTGCTGAGCAGTATTAAGCAAAAATGCGATGGGTCAGGGGACGTTTTCCCCAAGTCAGAAAATATTCTAGAAATAGCCCTGGGTAAAAGCCATCACTGGCACTTTAAGCTGAACAGTCTTAAGTAAAGATGCGATGGGTCAGGGGGGGAATCGGAATAAGATCATAATCACAACTCCTTATGTTCAACAAAATCGATATCGACACTATTGGATGAATTTAATTTTAGAATTGAATAATAAAATTACATCCAATATCTGATAGATACAATTAGGAATAGCTCTGATACAAAAAACTTGCATGCCTTTTGGCTAGAAGAATTGGTTTGGTGACTCAGTCGCTAGAACTTTAGGAATGGAATAAGATAAGTATCAAATACAGCATCGACTAACCTGAGCGGCGAGCCCATGCGTGCGTAACTGGTCGACGGATGGCCTTATCAACGATGCCACCAACAACGTAGACAGCATCGTGGTCAAACTCGCCGCTATCGAAGGCGCGCGGAGCGTTCGGACTGAGGTAGACGACTCTACGACCACTCACTACCTTTGTGAAGTGTTCTGATTTCACTGTGAACGGGCAGTCATCAAGGGACTTATATTTGCTCATCTACAAATAGTTTAAGAGCACATTTATACATGTTCTGCTGCTAAATCTCGACGTAAATGTAGCTAGGTCTTAAAAATACAAACACAATCAGGGACCAAACCCTTAGAAGCCTGAAATGTAAAAACTATCATTGAGACCAAATAAAAGGACTGTCATCCCTACAACAATAAACATTGTTAGAACCAATGAACAATATAAACAGCTTCGTAAGCACAAAACAGTGTTTAGTATTAAATGCACACTCTACGATGGCTTCTGAGAGCAGAACAAGAACTGAACTGAACCTACTAAATAGGCATAACGACATTCATTACACAAACCAAAACCCAGCAAACTAGGAACAACATACAAAGCACTTATGAAGCTTACCGACTCGTGTACTCCAAATGCTTGCTCAAAGAAGTGGTACTGGTTGGTGCCAGGTGAGAGACTTGTAAACATAAAATGAAAGGGAAAGGGTCGCATTTCCCTGTTGCGAGAAAATGCCATCGCTAACTGTTTTGCAAGATTTTTCTGGTCAACAAGACGCATTTCATTTTCGTGAGAGCAATCAAACACGAGGGTTTGGGCAGATTCATCGGCCGTTCGAAGTTCAGCGACCACCCAATCGTCTTGGTGAGCCCGAATCGGGTGAGATCGTATCATACGAAGTATCTGATTTTTTTGAGTGAGTTCGGTTGTGGGCTTAAGGTAACATTGGATGGAGTTTAACAAACCTTAGTTGTCGCCTTCGACAGCTGTTCCAAACGTTTAGCTTCTCTGCGCTGAAATACCTTAAACCTAAACAAGTAATAACGGTTTCGGGCGCTGACTGATGGGCAGCACAAGAGTTCAAGGTAATCTCCAGCTGATAAACTTGGTGGCACAGCTTTACCACTGGCAATAAACATGTTATGTTCGGCTCTGATAAGATCTAGTCGAGCAGCGTCTTCGGAGGTAAGATTATTCAAAATATCTTCGGGTGGTTTTGTACGATTTAGGAGATACGGCGCGATGGTCACACGGGAATCGCGTAAGTAGCGTTTACCATTAAAGATGATTTTCAAGGTAGAACGACTAAGTACTGTGCTGCACCAAGAGAGGACAGCCATCGCAACTGTGGAGCGGTGTAGTGTAGCTCGTGTGTTGTGGTGTGGCGTCGGATCAGGGCGCAGACATGTTGGACCACCTGGCCTCAGCCAATCCCGTGTCTCTCTGCGATCCAATGGCATGCGGGAATGGAAGGCAGTCAACCAGAGAAGGACACGACTGAGGTGTAGTATATAATGGGCGGCGCAGCCAGCGCGGGGGACTCGGATGGAAGGCGCCTGACGTGTGGCTCTGGCTTCTGATTGGTCAGTAGAGCCTGTTCTGTTGTACCGGTCTTTTTCCTATTAGGGCTCGGGTATTCTACATTGGTGGCAGCGGATGCGTTCGAATAACGCGAATCGAACCCCAGCCCTCTCTCTTCTATGGTCAACAGAGGCGACAACCCTTGAATGCAAGCTGATTTTGTCATGGCGTTCATCCGATGTCCAATAAAGTGGATCCATAGACATTGCCCGGGATTAGGACTGCTGCATCTGAAGAGGCATTGGCAAATCAGCGACGACGACTTGGATAGTGAAAGCCAGCCGGACTGCATCTGCGAATGGATCTTCGATGGATGATGAGTCCTTCCTGCAAGTCTACAAGAGCAAAGTCCCTCGTCAACCATTCGCATGGGCCACTAACCTGCCAGA